TTAATTACCTCCCTTTGGGGTTTACTCTGAAATTCGAACCATGACTCACGCTATCTGATTCACCACAGTGAGTGGAAATTTCTTCGCTGTAGTTCTTTAAGGGCAATTAAGCGGTATTCCTGATAGCCAAACCATAAAATAACTTTTCCTTTAATGGTCTCCTTTTCCCTTCAATGGTTTTGATGATAGACTTTGAATGCCTATGCCAATAGTCTCAAACTTGCGGGCCGAAGATTTTTATGCTACTCATGAATACATTTCATTTACGTATTGTTGCAAATACGGTGTTGTTAAGATTTCAAGATTTATGGTGTAGTCGTTCTGCACGCTGGGCCGGTATTCCAGAGGTCCATGGTTTCATTTATGGATTGATTTGGCGACTGGGTCTTCGCCTTTTAAAAGGGGGAGTATATAAGGTATTTCTCCCTCGTTCGTAGTGTGGTGGTTCTGCACGCTGGGCTGGTATTCCAGAGGTGCGCGGTTCGATTCCCGCGCACTGAAATTTGTTATTTTTCATCTTGCCTGCTTTCAGAAAAAAACCTAATGTCTCTATAATGAAACAGCTTTTATTTTTCATTATGGAATTTTTTGTCAAATGAAATGATGATGCAAAGTTTTAACATTAAGATGCTTTCATGAACTGTTGTTATTAAAATGTTCAATAAAAAGCAGAAACCAACTTAACCAATTTAAAACCCATTTAACGGTTACTACATTTTTTACTACACTGTAATGTTTAAATTAAAATATTAAATTGAAAATACACGTTTCTTTTATTACTTCCCCTTTTTTTAAAAAAATTTCCTCAAACTCCGATGATTTTCAAGGGCTTTTCATTACACTAATGCACATTAGTTAATAAAATATACCTGCACTAGACATTAATAAAGGTGTTCTAATGGAGGACTATTTCTCGTAAAATTCACGTTCCCTTTTCCTACCCCCCCCCCCGCAGTTTATCCTTTTAGTCTGGCAGGCGTGGTAATCGCAGATTCCGGACAGGTTCAACCAGTTGCGTGATACACTAGTCTCTGGCACTGGCCTCAATTAACATTTATTAGTTTGCTTGTCCCCTTTTTTTATTCATGTTTTCTTTCATCTCGGTCACCAGACATATTGCATTAGGAAAGGTTGAAGAAAGTATGTAAAGGTTTGTCTGGCATGAGGAGAGTTTTTACTTTTAAACTCAGCTAAATTTTAATCGCAAGTAGATGCTACGGTTGCCTTGACTTGTTCGTTAACTTTCCTTTTCCGTCAAACTTTTCTTTTCCTTTTTTTTTTTTTTTTTTTTTTTTTTGAGATTTTAGAGGATTCAGAATTATTTCTAAAATTATTTTAGGAATTCGAACTTTCAAAACTTGAAACTTTTTAAAATTTAAATGGAAGAAAAATACGCCGATATAAAATTTAAAATTAGCAACCTTACATTAACTTAAATTTAAATAACACTAAAGATTTCGAAAATGATAGTATCCTTCTCTTTGTAAAGTATTTCTCCCGCCTTTTTAACATGCCTTCGTAGTATACTGTTCTGCACTCTGGGCGCATATTCCAGAGGTCCGTGGTTCGATTTCTGGCGAGCGCGTTGCTCATTGATCATCTTGACTGCTTCCAAAAAAAAAAAAAAAAAAATCTGATGTTGCACCACATGACTTCCTTGTTCGGAATATTAAACTATACGCACTTTTTCTTTCATTTCATTTAAACTTATTGCATTGAATTAAATCGACTGCGTCGATAGCGCATAAACCACAATAGAATAAATGAACTCTTTAAATTCACTGTATTTGTTTACCAAAGCGACACTCTGGCCCTAAGTTCAATTAACAGCGCCTACATTTCAATCATTTTTTAACTCAGGAGGCACAAAATTTAAAGCATCTTAAAGAATTATCTAATCGTTGCCACATGTTCTATTCAAATACTATAATAAAGCTAGAACGATATATATAAAAGAAATTAAGCAAAAAAAAAAAAAAAAAAAAAAAAAAAAAAAAAAGTTTTTCACAGACGATTGAGTGTTTCTCATTTAATTAATTCAGTTCTCACTTCGCGAGAAGGCAAAAATACATAAAAACTCAAAATATCTATATTAAAAATTACGAAGTAAATTTAAACGCTTATTTCCTCGAAAAATTCCAGAAAGGATTAAGCATGATTTAATTCGTAATAATAAATGAAGGCGTTATCTTTTGTTGTTGCGAAGCTAAGTTTCTCTAGATTGGCAACAAATCCACTAGTCTCCTGTTTCAAATGTAAACAAACAATGGGCCGCCATGGCAAAAAATTATTAGGTTTGGCGCATTAAATAACTTTTAAATTTATGCTAATTCTAAAAATATTGCACACAGATTTACTAAAGGCATAAAATCCTTAACCGGAAGATAAAAACAACATAATTCAATTATTTTTAAAGCAAAAAATGTACAATTTACAAACATATAAGAGTAAAGAAACTGAGATTACTGAGCCGGGTAACATAGTGGATATATATATACATATGTTTATATACGTTTGGTGCGGCCGATTGCAACCAAAATACGAGGTGCACATCTAATGTTATAGCAGTCCTATATACAAGATTTCAACGTTCTGAGGCTACTCGTTTTTGAGTTATGCGAGATACGTAAAACGTACGTACATACGTTCGTACAGACGCGACGGAAAAATTCTCTTCAGAATTAATTTTAAAGCAGTTTTATAATTTTTTTGGGGGGAAAAGAGTATTTTATTCTGTCCTCACGTACAGATATCGCGCAAAAAACATCGTTAAATTGCATTCGATAGCGGTCAAAATGGATATTTGCGTTGAAATATGATGCCTAAAACTTTTCGTGATTACAATACTTCCTTTTTACTTCGTACAAGGAAGTAAAAAAATACCTAATGTCTCTGCATTTTCAAGGGAAAGGGGAGTTATTTTTAAGAAGAGAGATGTGTTTATGATAGGTTTTAATTTTATTAAAAACTTAATACTAATATAAGTTTGCTTTTTGAATAGTTTTAAACTGCTTTAAATAGGTTGAAAAGTTTCGGTACTGGTGCGTGTAGGTTTAAAAAATTAATTTAACATTAGATTTACTGAAATATCCGGCTAAAACTAATAACATGGATGTTATTTATAATTGTTCTCAGCTGATTTTTAACATCATGCATTTATGTGCTGTGGACACATGTGACAAAGATCAATGTTTTATATTGGTGTTTTCTAATGTTTCTCAGATTTTAACTATCTTTAGATTTTAACTAAATCTGAAGATTAGATTTAAGATCTTAACAGATTTTAACTATAATTTTTGTCTGTATCTTTAGATCTTAACAGATTTTAACTATAATTTTTGTAGATTTCTGTTTATAATTTTTGGAGTAGTTTTGAAATTACCCACATTAAATTTTTATTTAAGAATATTGATCTGTACCTGTTTAAATGCGTTATTTGTATGTGCTTGATCCAGTTCACAAGAAATGTGAATCAGAAACATCGTACTTACCAAGTTGTCTTTGAATGACTTCCATCTTAAAAGAATTTTTTTAATATAAAATGCGTGCCATTCAACCTGCCCATTTAAATTAGAAACAGATTAGATTTTTAAACTTCTTTATCGCATGACACCACTCTAAAAGGAATGTGGAAATCATTATTTTTCTTTTAACTCAATAGCTTGCAAAGCGAGAATCAGAAACAATTTCCTAAGGATTCTATTCCCGTAATGCCCGCCAGCGGTTGAAATGGTAAGATTGTTCAACAATGGTAGTTCCACCGGCTTCGAATCTTAGCGAAATCAGTCTTCCATCCCATTCCTTTGTATATTCATTTGTGCATCGATCGCCATAAGTCAAATAAGAAGGAAAATATATATATATATATATGATGGCTTTCAGATTTTATATTAAGTTCAAAGCGGTGTTTTTTTAATGTTTTGTGTGTTACCTTTGCTTATTAAATATCATGTTCTTCGCATTTAAACCATAAAATTTAATTCAACAGCAATATCACAAAATATTTAAAAACAGCATATCTCTAGAATTTCCAATACAGTCTGACGCGCTCGAGATATTTCCGCCCCCCGTACGGTGTTGCCATTGCTCTCTTTGAAATTGTTGAGTTTGTTAATAAAAAATTCGTTAAAGTTTTAGAAAATTTGAAATAAGTAATAAAATAAATTCCAAATTTGGTCTTCCAGATGCCTTTATTAGAGTGGAGGACTACGTAATTCAAAATTTGATGTCTCTAGTTACCGTTGTTTTTTCCCAATGCGAGAAACATGTATACATTCATGCAGATTCTTGTTTAATTTCTTTAAATATAACGCAGGGCTCTAACATCAAGTGGCAACAATTTGAAAAGTGATTCAGACATTTATAGTGAAACAATTCAAAATGCCAAAACGAAATTAACAGACCTTTTCGGAAAATTGTCCCTTGGCCATAAAAGGAAAGAGAAAGGAGGAAAAACTGGCGAACAGGTACGAGGCTTCTCCATATGCGTAACTTTAATGCGAGCTGTTAGGAAGCACTCCACGATGGCATGTCTTCCCTTAAATAGAACAAACTCTTCCTTGATTAACCAAAACTCTTCGCATAGCTAATACGAAATATTTGTTTTGTTGAGTTAAAATTGTAATTTGTAAATGTTTTCTAAAAACTTCAAATGTAAAAATTTGTTTTAATTAAAGAGTGGAAGGTGTAGGAATTCGATACACACCTCAATGTGTGGAATTATAATTACATTTTAAAATTACCATTTGAAATTAAAGCAGACTTTGAAGGTAATATCCAACTAATGATTTTGTGCTAAGAGAGAGGAAAGATATATTTTGATATTGCTGTCCACCGCATTCGTTTTAAAAATATGAAATTATTTTATATAACTTTCACCGTAAAGGTTCGTTTTGAATCATGAAATAATTGCTATGATCCATACTTCGTCTGCTTCTGCTTTACGATGTGCGTTAAATTGACTCAGCCTTGACCCTATTTGACCTTATTCTCTTGAATAGGAAGGAGATTGTTGATTTTCGGTATTGAGATGTCCTGTAAAGTTTCATTCCGGAATAAATGGTGCTGCCATCTGTGAATGAAGAAAGGAACTACTGGGACATTTTCCGTAAGAAATCCGTTTAGTCGAGATAGAACTGAATGTTTTTTTTTTTTTTTTTTTAAATAAACTGAATTTTTTTCAGTTGGACTAATTTCTTTAAATAATTTTTAACTTAATTTTAATTCAGCTGAAATTCTCTTCACTGTTGTTTGTTGTTAAACCAAAGTTGGGTTCAAATCTAAACTCGAAGAAAAATGGAATTCCCGTAAGTTTATGAATTCTAAAACCAGCTTCACAATTAACTTCATTCATGCCTATGTTAACATTTAAATACATGCTAAAAGAAAACTTAATTTCGTACAGTCTATAATTTTATTTGGAATTTATAATTCTTTTAGTTTGGAAGTGAGCGAAACAAGTATTTTACTTTTTTACTCTGTGTGCTAATCTAAATCATTTTAAGAATTCAAAAGATTGTTTTTAAAAACATCATTGCGTGCGTACGAGTTCCTAATGGATTGAATGCACACATAACCGTTGATGGCTTGATAAAATGTATTTTCCGAAAAGAAACACTTTACAGTTCTAGAACTTTCCGCAAAAGTACTCGTGCAGCTCTTCTCAGTATAAAAGAGGACAGTTAATAATTACCATTTCAAATTACTAAGAACGTTAAACACAATCGCAGTGAAAAGTGCGTCTAAAGGGTTCTTGTACGAATATCTTCCACTACTCTGAAGTCGAGTTTGAACTAAAAACTGAGAACCTATGCTCTCTTGTCTTATATAATTTTCTGTTATCATCCATTTCTCGAAGTCAATGCAAGGCATATGCGGTTAAAGTTACATTTAAGGGCTGGATATGGTTACAGTTATATATAGGGATCAATTATAGTACCAGTTACAGTTATACTGGGACCTGACCAAAATATCCAGACGGAGCAGGGACGGAGAGCATCCAGACGAAGAATATTTGGTACCGAAGGCCCCGGGTTCGAATCCCGGAGAAGGCATGGATGTTTATAAATGTATAGTGTCTTTTCGGCATGAGGGCACTCTAAATATGATAAACCAAAATTCCTCTTGTGGGGTTTGGTAGTAGGGAAGAGGGGTGGAGCAGCCCTGGACCACCTCAGGGCAACTCTCCCTCAAAATTGGGATGGAAGTCGAAGTCCAGCCTCTCTGATACTCTGGCACCCAATCTTCTATGAAATATGGACTCGACAACAACAGAAAAATGTTGCTAATGTTCTTGGCGATTATTAAGGATGTCAGCGACATCCTTAATTTTGCGTGATATTGGCTAATGTCACCATGAGTTTGCCAAATGGCGACATAAGGCAATATCCCGCCAAATTTGGCGACAAAAATTAGTCTCCAAATACATCGCCAGCTTGCCGTTCCCACTTACCTCATGGTTAAATGTACCTGCCCTTGTTATCTATTTTTCCAATTGAGCTTCACAGTTTCAGGCATTTCGTCTTGCATTACACAAAAGCTACTACAATTTCACACATAATTTCACTAAAATTAATTGCATATATATGAAAGTTATAATAATACTCTCCTCAAATGCATATGTATCTGCGGACTCAAATATTTAAAAGCAATTTTATCTGACCCACGAATACATTTCTCGTAAATTAATAAGCATAAAAACATTTTGAAGAAATGTTTGACTTTATTGATATGGGGTCCAGTTTTACAGTATTATCATTACATTTAAAAATGAACCCGAGTAACCCGCCGGAAAATCAACGAATGGAGCTCAATGATTTACAATAGGATATAAATCTTATTCAAAATTTGGGGATACAAACTTTGACTGGGTTTACTTTCTTTATCAAAAGATATTTTTTTCAATAAGAATAATTGCTTTACTTGGGAGTATATATGTGAAATAGTTTTTTCATAGTTGAAAATTAATAAGAAAAGAACCACATTGATTGATGATCATTTACAATTCGGGAGACAAATAGTTTTTAGTAATGTTTTTTCTCATTGAATAAATAAATTGAAATAAAATCCATGTAAAAGGACCTAAAAAGTATCTAAGTTATATTACTTTAAAAATATATATCTGTATGTTTTTTAAGGGGGGGGACTTCAGTGTTTAGCTATAGGACATATATAATTCTTCTTTTGATACAAGTTTAAAGACGAATCGAGTTCTTGTATATGGTTTGTGTAGAGGTATTTCTGTAAAATTTAGAGTTTCACATAATTCATGTTTCCTTCGTCATGGTATGCAAATGATTATTCAAGTTTATTTAAATGTGAATATTTCAGTAATATTCTATAGCTATTTAGAGAAATGTAAGTGAAACTGAGTGGTATATTTAAGAACAATTTATAAAATATACAATATGGATATTTAATGTTGAGTTGTACATTTCATCTAGTACTTAAATGCAGGTTGTCCACAAATGCATTGTTCATTAATGTTTTATATGTCTTACAGATGGCAGCACTATACCAATCATCAAATTAACCCTGCGTACGTTTGTGTTGCGCAATTACGCACGTGGGTGATTTGCACTCACCCATCTATTAAAATGTATCTAGATTAAGGAAAATCATTTTTAAGCTTTTGTCACCAGAACAAACAGCACAATTAACGTTCAGGTGCTGAAAGGCGGGAGTCCAAAACTCAACATACAATGTTTGCAAACTTGAGATCAGTATCACTTTGAGTAACCGTGTCACCAGAGGCGTAAATAAGGGTGTGCAAGGAAAATGAAATCGATAATAAAAGAAATTCCAAGTTTTAAATTTTGGCTTTCAGTTGCCCATATTTGCTGTAGGATTATGTCATTCAAAATTGGATGGCTCTAAGTACCGTTGCCAGGGGCAAGGAATAAGGGTGTGCAAGGAATGCCGTCGCATAGGGGCCCGAAGGTTTAGGGGGCCCTTAAATGTCCTGCTGAACTACATTTGCATGTTTTTGTATTTTTTTCCCTTTCGCTTTTCATTTTTATTTTTAGAGTTTGTACTACTATGAATTCTTATTTTAATATAATAGAATTCGTCTTAAGTTTTTAAGTGCCCTCCTATATGGTGCAGTGACGCAGTTCCGTATAAGACGCAGAAAAGGGGCCCTTGGAAGCACATGATATAGTTAAATTCAGTGTTTGCAAAAGTTAATATTCCATCATTCGACTATGAAATAGTAACTTCGTGACCTACCTCAGTTCAGGCATAGGAGTCAGCAGAAAATAGGAAAAGTTCCTTTGTATTTCTTAGTTTCTTACCAGAAAATTTTTAAAGGCGAAACCCTGAAGAAAAGGTTTTTCCCTTTGCAATCCCAATTCAACAGGGAGTGGAAGTGGAAATTAATTGTAACTATTTATTATAATGTAATTATTTTGTATATTAATTTATTTCTATATACTTTGTTATTATGATCGAATAATTAATAGACACATTTTCTAAGTATAAATAAAGAAGTAACTAAACAGGATTCTGGTACTTAATTTCGAATGACCTTTGCAAATTAAGAGGAAACGTGGTATATTATTTGCAGTTCGAAATTTTCATAATATGTCATTCCGAAGCGTTTAATTTTGTTCATATATTGAATCTGTTACTAGCACTTCCATTAAACCCAAGTCCAAAAATCAGGACTAATATTAAGCTTGAAATTGAATTTATTAATGTGAATGATTTTTACAATTTAATATAACATGTATTGCGTTGGTTCACTATAAACGGCGTATCACTTTTCAAATTGTTGCCACCAAATAATTTCACCCTGTACTATTTTTTAAAAAATTAAATAAGGAAGAATCTGCATAAATGTATGTATGTTTCTCGCACTATGACGAAACAACGTTACCTAGAATGTTTGAATGTATGGTTCTCACAATGTAAAAAACGACGATGCAGTCGCACCAGGAGGCAGGGTATAGGGACGGAAAATTTTTGGATTTAGAAGTATGGAACATTCCAAAATGGCAAAGTTAAAAGCGGATCGATTTTTTTTCTCTTTTTTAGACTAATAATCTGGAGGGGGAAATCATTCGTAAGTATCAATTGCTAACTCAAGAATGTATGCTTTCCTTTCTTAAGGACACAAAATCATTGACGTAAGTTGAGCAGTCGTGGCATGAAAGGACTTTGCCCCCACCCACATGTCGAAATGGTGTCCTTGTCCAGGAAATGCAAAGAATTTATGACACCACATTTAGAAAAGAGAGATTTCCCGTTTCTTAGGGATCTTTGAATGAATTCAAGGTCAAAGAAAAAGGGGCATGTTTTATGCGACAAAAGCTAACAACTCCCTTTGCAATCCCAATTAAACGGGTTTTGTTGTGTTTCAACAAAGAACACAAAGTTTCATTCTGGTTGCTTAAACATTAAGCGGCAAATATTCCAGTTAATTTTTTTTCCTTAAATTTATCGAAATTCATGACTTCTTCTTCACTTATGGGGAGGGGAAATGGAATGGATGAATATTTTTACTTGAAATAATGAGTAAATCAATATTTATCCTATTTTTCATATCAAAATTTACAAAATATTCTCACATTGCAGATAAAGTGCAGGTTAAGAATTCTTTAAAATTCCTAAACGAGAATTAAATCTGAAGGCATAGAACTCGTAAATTGATTTGCTTTAGGAAAGAGAATAGCTGTGGTGTTTCTTAGCCTGTAAATTACTCATCTACCAAAAATTCACACTAATCTGTAAAAGATAATTCTGAAGATATTAAATTTGTTTTGAAAGAAATATTTTAATTTCCCTTCGTTTGAAAAATATAATAAATTACAATTCATTTTAACAACGTGAAACATTTAAGCCTAGAATTCAGTAATGCGCAATAATTTGTATGTTATTTAAACGGAACTGAATTGAATTATTATATAATAATAAAGCACTCGAGGAATATTTGCCCAAGGGGAAGAACGCCTTCGAGGAGTAATAATCGTTATTTGAAATAAAAAAGTGTGTGTGTGTCTGATTGTAGCAAAGTCTCGAGGGCTATCTGCCTAAGGGAAGGAATGCCTTCGTGGAGGACTTTCTAAGAAAACTTCCTCGTATATACATTACACA